CCGTTGCCGATCTGTTGACTACCATGTGCCACTGCTGATATCAGCAAAGCCCCGGCGGCCGGTCCAAATAGGGCAACAGGTCCATCTTCATGACGTCGATCTGCCATCATATACTATCAAAACATCGGTCGCTCATCTTGCCTGGTTGGAGCGTGGGTGGGTAATTTTTGAGCTGGAGAAGGTTCATCCCCTTGCGTCGCCCATGTTCATCGCGGTCCCATTCACTTGGGTACACTTATCTTTTGTCCATCGTCTTCGCTACAGCTACACCTACCACACGCTGCCTGGGACTCACTTGTTCCAAATTGGAACTACTCCTCTCCCTCCCTCGTTTGATCAGGTGGTCCAACACAACCAGTCCATTGGTAAGGCCATGGAACTGTCAGATTTGGACTAGGTGGTGGACCGGTGGCTCCAGTTTCTTTTTTTTCAGCAGAACATTCATTTACAGTGCGATTATTTTTGATTTTTGAATCATTTTTATGGACACATATTTTTTTAGAATGCCTGACTGACAATAAAGGAACTGTGTTGATACTGATAGTGTTTTGCCTTGCCCTTTTTTTACTGCATCTTCCCATGACATCATGATCTTCCTGCTCTCTTTTTGCTATTGGACTTTACTTTATGGCTGTACAAACCTGTGACATTACTCACAGCATTTATTGTTCTATCCCTTTCTTTTCTTTTTTTGACAATCTTATCCTGTACTACCTACGCAGGATTCGTCAGCGTACATTCCTTCCTTCATATTCTTTCTCATTCTTTTTGCACAGCTATACTGTGCATAGCCTACTTTTTTTTTGCTATATAAACCCCTGTATATTACCTTGTAAAACAACAAAGCACTCGATTCCAGACTTCTTCTCTACTCTCAAGTTCACTACTCTGCTACTTGTGATCCAGTGTGGTCACAATACTTCCCACTTCTACCACTGTCAACTGCTGTCATCGTCACTTCCCACTTTTGAAGTCATTGTCATCCCTTTCGATTAGAGTCCTTCTGAGCACTACAGTTTGTGCGTCAGGAGCCTGCTATCACTAGGAACCTCGTCACCTCGTCATCCTCGTCGTTCTCAAACCTACCTTGTGCTACGATTAGCAAGGTAGTGCTCGTCTATACTCGCCACAAAGCACCTATCTTCTTATAAATTCAACTATCCCTCCTCCTCAAAACCCACACTCATACACCTCTGGGTTTTACTTTGAAGGATCTTTATACGTACCACCCCACGAACAACCAGACCACTCCACTGTTCTAGGAGGCAAAGCCCATAAACAAGTTCCGTGGAATCTGGGAGGATTGTGTGTTAGTTTGTTTTGTGTGTGGTTTTCTAACAACAGTTCTCATCATCGACATCGGTCTGAAGATATTGGATGATGTCAAAGAGTGTGAGGAATTGGGCAAGAGTGGTGATAGTAGATGAGATGTCCAGTTTGAGGGGATTGGATGGTGATAGGTGTGGTGATATAGATAGTAAGAGGTTGATGGCGAGGGTGAGAGGAGAGGGATAGGGATGATGGAGGTATAAAGAAGGTGACAATGAGGGTTTAGACTGATGCAAAGGCAGCAACGGTCTTTTTCAAGGTATAGCGGAATGGTCTTCCAAATTATTGCTCTGGAAAAGGATTCAATGGTGAGTGAGTTCAATATTCTGTCAGACAACAAATACAAAGTTATATAACAACAATGGATGTCTGGTCAAGTCCCTGAAGAGGGTGGTGAATCAGAGTACTGAGGTTGAAGACTATTGGTATAAGTGCAAATCCAAATTAATATTGAACTAAGGAATAATACATCGAGTATGTACTTCCTCATATAGTGAACAGCAATGGTCAGACCAAAAAGGGGAAGAGTTAAGAAAGTGGTCTGACCAGCCAACTAATCAATAAGAAAAAAAAGAGAAAGTGGTCCAATTTATTGTATTTACCAATTGTGTAAGAGACAGTATTGGTAAGAGGTGTACAATTAGCTGTATCAGTAAGCCCATGAGAAGGCACTGATTCATAGCCTACCTTGCTTATCTATAGCCCTCCAAAGTATTCCCAGACATAGCATTGAATCATTGCTATGTCATCTGGATATCTTCTCAAGGGTCCACAACAGTTCTCCTTTGTTGTAAATATGATAGGATGTGAGTATAAATGGAAAATAAAAAGAAAAAGGATAAGAGTAATAGAATACCGACTGTGATTTCTAGTCCAAGAGCAAGAGGAGTGACAGGGAATAAATTGGATAACCACGACATGATGGGAATGCGATAAGAAAAATTGATTGCTCACAGTTGGCACATAAATATCACCTTGTCGGCGTCAAGTTCACCATGAAGGTAAGCACATCAGGAAAAATGGGGGTAGCTATATAGAGCTTTATAGCACTATAAGTGCTCATAAAGCTGTTGTAGTGGTCAAACCTGTTATAGAACCTCTGTCATCTATAGAGCCTCATATAGCTCTATAAATGCTCTTATAGATGTTGGAAATTGTTGTCTGGCTGATAAAAAAAATTAGCACAGATAGGATTTGAACTCTCAACCTGCCAGTCAGCTTTTGGGTGACTAAGCAACCTATAGCCACACATTACATATTTATCCACTACACCATGAGAACTTATAAAATATTTTATACAGGTGTTATACATTGACCTTTCATGGACTTAGATTATTTTGTTACTCATTGTCACCACTTATGTTTGGATACATCATTATTCTTATTTTTATAAATATCAAAGATACAAACTACTGTTTCACTAATACAGACTACATAATTGACTAATACTTTATGATTTATTAGCCCTTTTAAGCAGCTTGAACTATATTATATAACTATGACCTTTACAGCTATAGGAGCTATGTAGGCAGACTCCAAACCAGTCAACAGATGTGTGTATATGCTATATCCTAGTGCTTAGTGATTATATAATCTGATTGTATAATTATCCAAAAATTTACCGAAACTTGAGTTGAGCATAACACACATGGCCAACTGGCACACCTTGTAGAGGTGCCAGATTTGGCCCTATTTGCCCCTCCGCTCCTTCCACTCAAATCAAGCAGGTCATGACCAATGTCCAGGGAATGACAATTGGAGTTGTAAAAATAGAAAACAATTTGAATATAATGTACCTAAGCAATCTATATTGTGCCACAAGTGAAATGGGCTGTGAGTGAGCTGCAAGGATACAGTGTTGCGCAAGGAATGTAAAACACAATTATAGCAACATATATAAGGACCTGACTGCCCTATGCTAACCTAAGGACACCACCACAATGCCAGGAAACAGTACTGCAAGCCAGTTAAGTAACATTATAACATGTCTACAACAGAATAAACTCATACTTTCAGAAATGATTCAAGGAGTTTTACAGAGCGACAAACCTAGTCACAAAACAGCCCGGGAGTTGCTTATACACAATGCACAAAGGATATGTACTGTGCTACACAAGCAGTTGGCCGCTCACCAGTCAGTATTTTCATGGGCATTTGGGCTTGTTAGTGGGGTGTTGTGTAAGGAGATTGAAGAACTAAGCCAAGAGCAACATGGCCTTCATTTCCAAGGCAAACACTGCGACCACAGAACAGCTAGAAGATACTTTCATGTCAGTATTAGGGAAAAAAATGAAGATATAGCACCGCACCTTTGGATTGTCATACAAAGGCTTCTCAAAAGTCCCAATAATCAGCACGTGAAACTGAGACAAAATAATGATGAAATGCTGGCAGGCTTTGCACCACTGGTGGAGAATAAACTTGGCAAACTGGGTGATACTGAGGAGCTTGCAAGAGACAGTGAGCATGATGAAGAGAGCCCTATGAAAAAAAGCCAGAAGCGAGCAGGGGCAAGAAATGCTGCGCTGCTGATGATTGTGAGTGTTACGATAACACAATTTCCGGACATTTCCTTTCTTTTTCATTCTCCGCTTTAAGTTTTAGCTTTCACACATGGTGTTATAATATACTCTAACATACCAATACCCCATAGGATAATACCTCTGATTTGTAAGCCAGCCCAGTATGCAGCAGCTATTCTGTGTAAGACGTCCGTGGTTGCATGTCATGTTTAAGATCCTACATTGTAACCTTGGCCATATAGCTCAATTGGTAGAGCAGCTGGCATGTATCCAGAAGGTTCCAGGTTCAATCCCTGGTTTGGTCATTATCCAATTTTATCACATGGTGCCATGCGGCATTTCCCCTTTCTCACGCCGTGTTGCCTTGCTCTTATCTTAGATTCAACTCTCTCACGCAGTGGAGCTGGCCATACGGGCTAGGCCCTATGACATCATCAGCCACTGCCTCCATCAACTGTATAGTACATATGTGCAAACAACCCTGTAGTATTATATATACCCCAATAGATCCAGGAGACTCCTCAACATATGTACTATACCAACTAACTCACTACAGCCCAAGGGGTACCCACTCCCCACCTTCATCATCTTCTATAGTGTGTTCTGTGTGCGCCGGAGTAACTAACTGTTGGTTGTTACATTAGGACTCACTCCTCTACTCTCTTGCACGTTTGTGCAAAAAGTCCCACTGGGCACCCGGACTCCAGGGTGAAGGAGATTTGGTTATGGGCTGGGAATATCCCGCATAGCAAATAGGTGCACTGTTTGCAACGGCCTTGTAGTGCTTTGGGAGAAGAACCAATACCTTTGACACGTGGCCCCCAGCGTTAAGGGGAGTACTATAGCTCAGCAGTCAGTGTGGAATCACTGAATTTACATACAAAACTTCACTTTCTCTTTCCTCTGACCAGGCCAGGCACTTGCCTCTGCCAGTCTGGAGAAGGGTTGACAGCTTAACAAGCGGACCACCCCCTGACAACCATTCGGACCAGGGTTTAATACGAATACTTTTATATACATTTCAAATACTATAGTGTGGGTAGTTGGAGATTGAGATCCGATACTCAGCAGGGAAGAGGTAGATCCGCAGATAGCAAGCGGGGACCCCCTGTTACCTTTTTTGTACCTTACCAAAGAGAATAAGTCGACATGTTGTTGCAACCCCAAGATGTCAACGCTCTGTTGCATAGCATGCGACAGCAAATCCTGGCGTTGGCCACGCAACTCGCCGAGATACAGGCAAACCCCCCTGTAGCAACCCCCTCGGTGGAAAAGAAGTTCAACAAGAAAGTCAAAGTCATCGCTGACCCTGGTGCCTTCCAGGGAGACAGAGCGCAATTTGCCAAATGGTGGATCAAGCTCCAGATTTGGGTCAAGGCAAACTGGGACGCGTTTGCCGACGATTTTGAGGTAGCTACTGCAGTGCTATCTTGACTAAAAGGACCGGTGGCAGGTCGATACACCCAAGTAAGACTCCAGGAGTGCTACACCACGGGTGTGTGGCCTACCTGGGACAATCTCAAGATTGAGATCGAAAAATATTTCAAACCACAGGCTGAGCGTGACTGGGCTTGCCAACAAATCTGTTCCTTCAAGCAAGGCAACATGAGGATGGACAATTATGTCACCCGGTTCCTGGCCCTCTCCATCCAATGAGGGCTAGGCAGTGAACATGCAGTAGAACTGCTGGAACGCAATATGAACCCCCGCATTGCAGAACAGATCTACTTGCAGGATACAAGAAGCGATAACTTGGCCCTGGCGGCTGAGGAAGTACGACGAGTTGGTAGAGTCATGGAGCTCTACGCTATGCACCAAGGTGGCGGGTCCACCACCAAAAACAACTCATCCCAGAGGCGCCCTGGGTCATCAAACCATCAAAATCATTCTCACGGGTTCAAGCTGTTTGGGCTGCAGCCAGGACAGGGTGCTCCTATAGATATCGGCGCGGTCCAAGGCGGACAGATGCGCAGATTCAAGGGCAACTGTTACAACTGTGGCCAAGAGGGGCACATGTCCCGAGATTGTAGAAACGGGGTGCAGGCCGCCCAACAAAAAAATAACCAAGGGCTCCAGGCGCGCCAATCAAAAACCGAAAAACCGGACGATCAGCTCAACTCTTTGGCCGGTCGTTCATACAACGAAATCCGGGCCTTTTTCTATGACCAACAGGTCAATGAAATGAAGGTTCAGGGAAAAGAGTTCAGAGCTTAGGTCACTTGGGTGCCTTTGCTCCTATGAACAATGAAGTAAACCACAACAAGGTGGCCCCTGCTCCGGGGTGTTGCACGAGCAATAAAGGAAAGATGGGGATGGCTCCCCAATTTGTAGATAGATTTTTTAATTTGTTATCAGAAGTATGTACTTGTATGAAGCAATGTGATTGTAATATTTATGATACTACCGCTGCACCAGCGTCTCCCTTGGAGTGTGGCCCCGGAAAGACAAGCACTAGGGTGGTAAAAATAAAATAGAAAAACATGTTTCCTTTGATACTTCTTCTTCTTCTTTGGAGCCACCCTTTCCCAAAATCCCAAGGTGTATGTTGATGCGCACATATTTATTCCAAAAAGAGATCTGTTTAGATGTTGGCTTGGAAAACCTTGCCCAGGGCATAGTACACCCAACAAGCACACTGCTCGATTCAGGCGCTAATGGGATCTTCATAGATCAGGTCTGGGCAGAGCAAATTGGACTCCCCCTTGTAAAATTAGATGTATCTATTCCCGTCTATAACGTTGACGGTACACTTAACGCAGGTGGCTGTATCATGCACAAATGTTTTTTTGTTGTTGAATACCAAGGACACAGAGAAAGAGTCACTGCCGAAGCTACCCAACTAGGGAAAATTAATTTAATCTTGGACTGGACCTGGCTATTTAAACACAATCCTGAGATTGACTAGCAGACAGGGGTTGTCACATTGTCACGTTGCCCTCAGGAATGTGTGAACTTGGGTAAGCCGAATCACGTCCGTCATGATGAGCGTCTTGAAAAAATAAACGCTGGTCACGTTTATGAGCTCAGATCTTTAGAAAAGATCAACGATGACAATGACAAGGTAAAGCCTGAGGAAGAGATAAAGAGGCTGGTACCTCCCGAGTACCATGACTTCTGGAAAGTCTCTTCTAAACATAAGTCAGAGCGCTTCCCAGAGGCTAAGCCTTGGGACCATGCTATAGATTTGAAGGACACCTTCAAACCAAGAAAAGGACACATGATACCACTCTCTGCTCCAGAAAGTGATAAGGTATCTAGTTTCATAGACGAACAGCTTAGGAAGGGTTACATCAGACCTTCCAAAAGTCCTATGACGTCCCCGGTGTTCTTCATTCCTAAAAAGGATGGTAAAAAGCGTATGATTATGGACTATTGTTACGTGAATGAGCACACGGTTAAAAATGCGTATCCGCTGCCTTTGATCAGTCAGCTAGTAGACAAATTGGCTGGTGCCAAGATCTTGACAAAAATGGATCTCAGATGGGGGTACAATAATGTATGAATCAAAGAAGAAGATGCTTTGAAGGCCGCGTTCACGTGCCACCGAGAATCTTTCAAACCCCTTGTTATGTTCTTTGGGTTGACCAATTCACCGGCAACCTTCCAGAGCATGATGAATGAGATCTTTGCAGATATGAAAAACTGTGTTGTCATTTACATTGACAATTTATTAATATTTACAAAGTCGGACGATGAGGCAGAGCATGACAGGATCGTGCAAGAAGTCCTTCGACGCTTACAGGAACAGGACCTATTTGTCAAACCCGAAAAATGTAATTTTAAAGTGAAGGAAGTAGACTTCCTCGGTATGATCATAGGCCAGAATGGAATCAGGATGAATCCTGAGAAAGTTCAAGCTATCTTGGATTGGCCAAAACCTACTCGCGTCAAAGGAGTTAGGGCCTTCCTTGGCTTAGGCAATTTCTACCGAAGATTTATTGAAAACTTCGCAAAAATCACAAGACCATTGAACAATCTCATTAAAAAGGACATTTTTTGGCATTGGGACACAAAGGAACAAGAAGCTTTTGATAAGCTGAAACAGGCATTTACAACAGCGCCCATACTAGCATTTCCAGAATTAGACAAAGAGTTCCAACTAGAAACCGACTCTTCTGATTTTGCTACTGGGGCTGTTCTGTCAATTAAATGCCCTGATGATCTTTGGAGGCCTTGTGCCTATTTATCACATAGTTTGTTGCCTACAAAGTGCAACTATCAAATTTACGACAAAGAGATGCTAGCCATCATTAGAGCTTTAGAGCACTGGCGGCACTATTTAGAAGGTGCTAGACACCAATTCGAAATTTGGACCAATCATAAGAACCTAGAGTACTTTATGACAGCCTGAGACCTAAACCGAAGACAGGCCAGCTACGCGGTGTACTTATCAAGGTTTAATTATAAATTAATTCATAAGCCTGGAAGCTCTATGGGGAAAGCAGATGCTTTATTCAGGAGAGAGGATCATGCCAACGGCATTGAAGATGACAACAAAGGTTTTACCTTGATAAACCAATCAAGGGTTGCCAATGTTAGAATCGGGCAAGATTCCGATCTTCTGGAAGTCTTCAGGAAAGCTCCTCAGAAGAGAAGGCACACCTTGATGGCAATGAAAACTATTTATGGAAAGACGAACTCTTTCATTTCAAAGACAGAATCTATGTGCCTGAATCTGTAAGGATCAAGGCAATAGATAGACATCACAACACTCCAGTGGCTGGGCACCCTGGGTGGCAACGAACAATGGAGTTGATCTCCAGAAACTACATGTGGCCTGGCATGGTCAAAGACGTACAGGAATACGTAAAATCCTGTCTGAGATGTGCCATGGCAAAGAACTCTCATCAACCGCCGGCCGGTAAACTTATGCCAAATCCGATACCAGCTGGTCCTTGGCAGGATATATTGGTTGACTTTACAACGGATTTGCCTAAGTCAAATGGGTATGATTCAGTAATGGTGGTAGTAGATTGCTTCTCCAAAGAAATAGTGTTCATACCCACCAACAAAACTATTACCGCCGCTGGTACAGCAGATTTATTTAAAGATTTCGTATGGTCTATCCATGGGTTACCAGAAACGGTTATCTCCAATAGAGGACCACAATTCGCTAGCGAATTTAAGAAAGACCTATGCCAGATGCTGGGCATCAAACCTAAATTATCAATGGTGTTCCATCCGCAGACTGATGGACAAATGGACAGGCTCAACCAGGAGTTGAAACAATATCTCCGGATATTTATCAATGACATGCAGACAGATTGGGCCAAGTGGCTAAAGATAGCCCAGTTCTCTTATAATATCAAGCAGTCGTCGGCTACAGGAAAGGCACCATTCGAAGTTACTAGATTGTACCTCCCCAGAATGGGTGTAGAACCTGGCAAGAGCAAAAACAAGGCTGCTGGAAACATGGCCAAGGACATGAAATCTGTCTTGAACAAAACCTGCAAGGTGCTATTTCAAACTGCAGAGCAGATGAAAGACAGGGCAGAGCGTAAACGCTCTAAGGCCCCTGACTACAAGGTCGGCGACCTGGTCTGGTTAGATACCGACCACTTAAAATTAAGAGATTGACAGTCCAGAAAACTGACCAAAAAGTGGATTGGCCCTTACCGGATTAAGGAAGTCAAACCCAATGCGGTGGAGCTGGAACTCCCAAAACGAATGAAGGTAGTACCCACGGTCAACATCAGCCGTGTGAAACCCTACAAGGGACCACTGCCGGGACAGCGTGTAGACCGGCCCGGACCGGTTGTAGTCACCCAGGAAGGTGAAGAAGAGTTCAAAGTCGAACGAGTGGTGGATGCACGCTTGAAGCATGGAAAATTAGAATTCCTAGTCCTATGGAAGGGCTATGGAGACAAGGACAGAATGTGGGAGCCAGAAGCCCATCTGGATAACTCCTGTAACACTGTTCACGAATTTTATTCTAAGAATCCCTCAGCTCCTAGGAAGCTTAGAGGCATGGGTTCAAAATTTTTTAATTCTCTTTTTCGACCAATGCCCAAAAATTTAACTACTACCTTCTGTATTTGGTCTCGCCTGGAAGTTGAGCCTTAGAAGGGGGGTAGTGTTACAATAACACAATTTCCGGACATTTCCTTTCTTTTCATTCTCCGCTTCAACCTTGTACTTTAGCTTTCACACATGGTGCCACCCGACATTTCCCCTTTTGTTCAAACTCCTCTTTCTCGCGCTGTGTTGCCTTTTCTCTTATTTTAGATTCAACTCTCTCATGCAGTGGAGCTGGCCATACGGGCTAGGCCCTATAACATCATCAGCCACTGCCTCTATCAACTGTATAGTACATATGTACAAACAACCCTGTAGTAGAATATATACCCCAATAGATCCAGGAGACTCCTCAGCGAGTCCTCCTGTTGAATACCAACAAACTCACTGCAGCCCAAGGGGTAGCCACTCCCCATCATCTTTCTTATAGTGTGTTTCTGTGTGCGCCAGAGTAACTAACTCTTGGTTGTTACACCGAAGAGATGGTGTCATCCAAGAGACTACAGCTGCAGATACTCCAGAACAAAATGGCATTGCAGAATGCATGAATCAGACATTGGCTACATTAGCAACCACTATGCTCCATGATTCCAAGCTCCCAAAGTCATTTTGGGTAGATGCCATGCAAACAGCTGCATATA